AGACAATACAGTCATGTCCTTTTTACTAACCATTTACTATTTACTAACCACTGCACTCACATATGACCTCACCTTAAGCGCGCATTATCCGGCCCTACAATAAACCCTTCAACCCGACGTTAACTGAGCACTATGCGTCCTTCTCAAAAAGAGATTTAAGTAAAGTCTTCTCATTAGACCAGTCATCCGCACTGTCGTCGTCAACCAATGTCGTCGATAGCCACTTAACATCAGATGAGTCTTCTATTGACGTCAAAAAAACTTGTTTGACTAAATTTCATTTATACTCCCAGCGTCCGCACTAACTGTTACCCGCCTCAGTTTTAGAAGGTCTTCTTAGAAGTAAATATTAATAAATAAAACAGAGACAGATAATTACATAACTATTAAGTTTTTAACTACATATTTACAAAAGCATTTTTTCACTCAATTATAACATGACCACACAGCCGAGGACAGGCAGGAATGGCGCAAGATAATGCAGGAGAAAGTTATTAGAGGAGGCGATGACCCTCAGCACTGAGGATTATCGACGCAAGGAGGAGGATAACATGACACTTACGTGACGTATGGACGTAGGCAGCGGCTTGGCTCTGCCCCTGGCATTGCTGAAGTCCATGGGCGACGGTAACCACTCACCATCAGGTGGGCCGTATGCTCGTCTGCCTACAAGGGCAATAAAAAAAAAAAAAAAACAAAGCTTCATTGGATAGGTACTGATATATTGAATGTCAGCTTTCTTTATGATGCTGTTCCTTCGACGGTAATGGTTCCGAGTGAAGCGGCTGCGATACACGAATGTACCAAGCCCTTCGATTTTTTGTCAGTCCGCCCCAGAGAAGCCTATAAGGTCATTTGAGAATAGTATGCTTCGCAACATAAAAGCAACGGTTTCTGGACAAGGTCTGACCAATTTTTCCCCAAATCTATGTCTTCTCCTTCCCTCCTTAAAAAACATACGGAGGGTTAGCCGCTTTGTCGGTGTCTTTTCTAGCCTTGGAACACCAATGGGCGACAATGATCACATACGATTCAAAATTTTATTTAACACTAGCGATCCGCTCTCGCTTCGCTTCGGAAACATTAAATTTTATTATTGATAGCTGAGTCCCGCGATGTTACCCGCTGTTATTGTCGTACCGCGGGTGAAGCAGCGGGGCAAAGCTAGTCTTAAAAAAGTAGCCTAAGTTACTCCTTATATCATCAGTTACCTATCAGTGAAAGTCCCGTTAAAATCGATCCAGCCGCTCCAGAGATTAGCTGGAACAAACAGACAGACAGACAGACAAAAATTGTTAAAAATGTTATTTTGGTGTTTATATATATTCATATGCATGTAGTAAAAAGCGGTTATTTCAATTTTACAAACATACACTCCAATTTTATTTATATGTATAGATTTGCATTTAAAGGAAAACCAAGTACATTTCTAAGCTGGAAGTCTACCGTCTTAATCTGTAAGAACTTTTGTTATAAAAAATGTACTTCTATTTTAAAAAATGTAATTAAAAGTGTATTTAATCACACTTATTTACTTAGTAAATAGATATTAATTAATGACACTTCTAATATACGGTAGGTATTCAACTTTAACATTGTTCTCAATAGATGGCGTGGAACGTTTTGTAACTCGCGCTAGCGTTGCTTGCACCGTGCTTTTTAAGTGCATAGAGTCCAAAGAATAAAGCTTTGTTTCACGTCCTTACGGATCCATCAGATCCAATAACCTTTGCATTAGATGCCTTCAGCTCTAATACTAGGGGCAGGCTTAGGGACCCCGGTAACCGTACTCGTCGAACTCGACAAAGAGGTCGACGTGCAACCTAACCCATGCATCAGCCCGCTGAGTTTCTCGCCGGATCTTCTCAGCGGGTCGCGATTCCGATCCGGTAGTAGATTCATTCGCGAAACAATTGCTCTTGAGTTGTTAGGTCTCCTTCGGAGGCGCTCGGGCAGTTGTTAGCAAANCCCTTCTACTCATATCTGTTTATAAAATACTAGCGACCCGCCCTCGCTTCGCTTCCGGAACATTTAAAAACACATGAAAAAAAAAAAAAAAAAAAAAAAAAAAAAAATAAAGCTTTGTACCAACCCGGGTTATTAATTAATGATTCCCCTTTTTTGGAAAGTGACCCTCCATTTGAATCTCAGCTGGTGGTTAAGTCGCTCAGAGTAGAATTGAATCCTATAAAATTTAAACTATTTTAAACTAAAATTATATTATCACAGCTTGCTTTGCAAAGTTTAATTAATAACACTACTAAAGTGTTATCTCTACTTAGATCAGTTTGTCAAGGTTTTTCCAAATTTGAAACCGATTTCTAAGCTGACTATTTAATTGATAATAACTTAATGTTAATTATTAGTATTGTTAGTTGTTACATGAATCTCTATAATTTAATTTGGATTCTGTTGAAGTCCTGCTACATATTTTGTTTTATTTATGTTTAAAATTTACACGATCTAAACAATTGTGATAACTATTCTACTATGTACAACATAATTACTATTTATTACTACTTTCCTGATATCCCTAGTAGCAGCGGTATATTTATCTACAAAGCTATTATACATTTCGGCTTAAATTAGATAAACCTACCCTTAAGTATGTTCACGTACACTCATAACAGGTAGACACGTTGCCGATTTATCAATATAATTCATATCATAGTCCGGTCATCGTTCTCGTCGAACCCGTCGCTTGCGAAGGGCTCGGCGAGTAAATTAGCCCACAGACACAGCCCACTGAGTTTCTCGCCGGATCTTCTCAGTGGGTCGCGTTTCCGATCCGGTGGTAGATTCTGCGAAACATGGCTCTTGCTAGGGCCAGTGTTAGCAACACTTCCAGTTTGAGCACCGTGAGCTCACCTGCATGTTAGGGTGAAGCTAAAATTGCCTCTCAAGGCTACCGGCATAGGCTGGAAAAAAAATCATAGTTAAATTTAACCTTTCTGTTAGAAAACCAATTGCTTTTTACGCTGTACTTTTTGTTTCGAATTTATAATCTCATAAATGTGTACACATTATAAGTATCTTTTCATTAATACTATGCTACTAATACGTGCTGTCTGTGCACAAAGCACACATGCTTGTAAGTGGGTCACGCGCGTCACGGACCGTCTAACTAAATATGGATTAGACTAATCGTATCGAAGCGGTGACCTTGGTTATAACGTGTGGCGCGGTGGCGACGCGCTTTATACACTTACAAGCCGCCCGCTCCGGCTTCGCTCGGGTCTTTAACAAAAATTTTAACGACATTTGACGTAGTTTTATTTTTTTTAATAAAAAGAACACTTATTGCGACATAACTATAATAGTTAGACATATGCTGTCGCGACACTTTTTGTAAATAATAATGTGTTCCACAAAATCGTGGAACATTATTTTACTCTATCAGCAATAGTTTTCGCAGGGCATGCGATTTAAAGAATATTTTAGGTAATTTTTTTACACCTTGGGTTAAATTATTGGAGTTATAGTAAGGATCCCAAATTAAAAAAAAAAAAAATTATATTGGCCTATGTCACTCGAGAATAGTGTAGCTTCTAAACAGTGAAAGAAATATTAAATCAGTTCAGTAGTTTCGGAGCCTATTCAATACAAACAAACAAACAAATCTTTCCTCTTTATAATATTAGTATAGATGTACACTGGCGATGATGTTCACGCGGATCGGTGCTAACATCTTAGTTATTTCTGCGAAGCAATCGCGGGTTCGACCTTGAAGACTAGGACTACCCTTTTACGATAGAATCGAGACTTCATATCTCAAGGTGACCGGCATTTGGGTTGTGATGTATTTTTTGGCCCACCTGATGGTAAGTGGTAACCGTCGCTCATGGACGTCAGCAATGGCAGGGGCAGAGCCAAGCCGCTGCCTACCATTAAGTACTCTCGGCAAGCCTCGTTTGAAGAAGGACATGTCATAGCGCTTTGAATGGGCTCTGGTACCTAAATAAGATCCTAATAGCACTCTGGTGTGGGTCTGTCATGGGCTCTGGTACATAAAGCTTCTGCTAAGATTCTACGACACATTTCTGATGATGTACGGATGTGAGAGCGAGTACTCCGCGATCCATACAATTGTTGTGCAAATGGTTTCGTCACGATATGCAAATTTCAGCCTTCACGCTGTTCCGTGGCGAGGTCGACAGAATTATCTAAGCTAGTACACTTCCTTACTAGAATTGTATTAGGTTAGGTTTATCAATTTGCAGGTTTAAAACTATTTCCTATATTTTAATGTAACCTAGAATTTCTGTTAACACTTCAAACTCATTTATTAAAAAAACCTTCAGTATTTAACCAAACTCAGGATGGTATGTATTTTAAACACTCCACGATTATTTTCTTAATCGCTCTTTTAACTTACACAAAATTATTTAAATTTTTTTGTTCAGCTAGCTATAAATAGTTCGTTTTAATTTTTTAAACTATTATTTATCTATTGCGTAGCCAGATGAACGAGCTCTGGGCACACTTGCTGTTAAGTTATCATCATAACAGCTTTTATATGCTACAAGCGGCCCGTTTGACATTTGACGTCGTTTTATTTTTTTAAATAAAATGACTTATTGCGGCATAACAATAGTAAGACATATGCCGTGGCGACACTTTTTGTAAATAATAATGTGCTCTACAAATTGGTAGTACATTATTTTATTCTATCATGAATAGTTTTCGCAGGGCACGCGATGTAAAGAATATTTTAGGTAATTTTTTTACACCTCGGGTTACATTATTAGAGTTTTAGTAAGGATTCCTAATAAAAAAAAAAAGATTATACCCTATGTCACTCAGGGATAGTGTAGCTTCCGAACAGTGAAAGAATTTTTCAAATCGGTTCAGTAGTTTCGGAGCCTATTCAATACAAACAAACGAACAAATCTTTCCTCTTTATGATATTAGTATAGAAGTATAGATGGAATAAGTAGGTATCTTTTCGTACAGGATAATGAAAAATGACACAGTATTTAGTAACTTGTTTGTTCGTTTCAGATTGCCTCATGATCACCAAAAAGTGAAATGTGAGTATATGACATATTCTTAAAATGAGAGCCGGGAACAATAATGAAACTGGTAGCTTCCATGATCATTGGAATAGTACTGGGTGGAGTGTATTCCAAAAAACAGAGACAGCACTGGATATGGATGGATGTTATTGATAAAAAAGAGAGTAGAACATTGGTGAACGGGCTGCGACGTTCTCTGAGTGCTAAATTAGCTGTTTTATTTAATAAACTGGCCAGCATTCGCTGTTGGTAATACTGTTAAACAGGAATTAACAAATTCCTTTTAAAAATAGATATATATCTTATATATATAACCAAACTATATATAACCAAATATATTATAATATTAAAATATATACATATATATAAACCAAATATATAACAAAATATAAAAATATTTATGACCAAAATATATATATAAATATTTTGGTTATATGGGACGAGCTCACAGCCCACCTGATGTTAAGTGGTTACTGGAGCCCATAGATATCTACAACGTACATGCGCCACCCACCTTGAAATATAAATTCTAAGTTCTCAGTATAGTTACAACGGCTGCCCCACTCTTCAAGCTCAAACGCATTACTGCTTCACAGCAGAAATAAGCAGGGCGGTAGTACCTACCCGCGCGGACTCCACCTACCTATCCTGGACCTAGAGGTCCTACCACCAGTAATTACGCAAATTATAATTTTGCGGGTTTGATTTTTATTACACGATGTTATTCCTTCACCGTGGAAGTCAATCGTGAACATTTGTGAAGAACATAATTATTTCATTAGAAAAATTGGTACCCGCCTGCGGGATTCGAACACCGGTGCATCGCTCAACACGAATGCACCGGACGTCTTATCCTTTAGGCCACGACGACTTCAGATGGAAAACAGACTGACTTCCTTAGATTGTAATCATATCAATCGGCAAGATTGCGGAGTTCTCTCGACAGTCTTGCAGATAAGCATTATCCCTTGCTGTGAGGCGGTATAACTGTACCATGAGACCCATGGATGGGTAGCAGCAGTCTTATTTCGGCTACAAAGCAATCAAGCTTCCAGCTTGGGGCGGACCGTTAGTCAATCGAAAATTAGATCTCATGTTGAGGTTAGATTGACGTTGTCACGCCTTTGGCGCCGGCGACCACTTAACAGTCGGTAGGCCGTGGATTTGTTCACGTATCTTTTTTGTTATTATTGAGAAGAAGTGATCGAGCTGGTGTGAAGGTGTACCCATAGACTTCAACAACACAAATGCTACCACCCAATTGGAATCATGAGTTCTAAATCTCTCTTCTACATTATAACGGCTGCCCTTCCCTTCAAACGGTTTTGAACGGTTTAGCGACAGAAATAGGCAGGGTTCATTTACTTATTTTATTTATTTAGACACACCAACAGCAACACACACAAAATATTCAAGCTTAAAATTAACATGTATAAAATTAAGTACTGGTATGTAAGCCAGTTACAGGCATGTACAGCAATCTCTTATAACACACTATGACATGTTACAGCAATTTTACAAACAGCGGAAAAATAGGCTAAATTTAAATCTTAACAGTAGAGTTGTAGTATCTACCCGTGTGGATTCACAAGACCCCGAGTAAAAAGCCTACACAAAGAATAAAATTGTTGTCCGACCCCAAGGTTATATCAATGTTATCCGGTATGAAACAAATTCATAATTGTATCGTTCGCATTAATAATACGCGTTTATGGGAATAACACGCGCGCCACGCTTCAAATTGTATATGGACGACGGAAAACAACGTGTTTGTTGTGCCCTATATATGGGAATATACGGCGCGAATCAACGCCATATACGGCATAAGCTTCCTAGATTAATCTTTGTGTTATTAAACGTTAATATTCTTAAGATTACGAGAGTACTGTGTCTCGTAAATTTTTTTTTTAAGGGATTTTATGACCTGGTTACTAAGACCTTTAAGTCATGTCTTATTTTAATTTATATTCTTATTTTTATGAAAAATGATAATATTGAGTGAAATGAAATGAAATTAAATGAAATGAGATAAGATGGGATATGGGATGAAATGTAATCTCAGTAAAATTGTGGTCATTTACTGAGATTTTTTAGTGGACTTTTTGTGGGATCCCGAGAAGTTACGTCCAGCGGATTTGTTTCGTTTTCCCACATTTGTGAACTTTCACAGATATTATCAGTTAATAAACCACCATTATTACACATTTAAACCTGAAGAAACACTAAATAGACAAAATAAAACAAATCACACAACTTCACTCCTCGCGTTCCTGCCAAAAAGCTCACTGTGTCTCGGCTTTTGAAGTTATCGCGTAGGTTCTGTCAGCTCACAGGCGCTATACCGCCACCCTCAATAGAGATTAGTGAACTCCTCGATTATTATCTACGAATATTAGAATTCGGCGCGGCCTAACGGATAAGACGCCCGGCGTATTTGTTCCGAGCGATGAGATTGTGCCGACGTTCGAATCCCGCAGGCGGGTACCAATTTTTCTAATGAAATACGTAGTTAATAAATATTCACGTATGACTTCCACCGCGTGTGACTCTATACTTAGATGTTCTCTAATGTTCTCGATATTTCCAATTTTAATAAGATGTGATTTATATTGATTTCAAGCAGCAACGGACTCTACAACCAGAACTCATGTTAGAAATGTATCAAAAAAAAAGGGAGGAGACTCTATCTTTTTATTCACCTTATCCAACTAGGTGAGGTCGGCACAGCTAATTTTTCTCTTCTATTTTCTTCTATCAGTCGTCAGCTCAACACTCATTCCCCCGACACCCCGTCGATGTCTTCTTCGGTCGACCCCCGTTCTTCCCCCTCTACTAAGACGAGGAAGCTATCAAAATTATAAACAAACCTATACACAGATAGCCGTATAGACAGTGTGTTAACATTAGACCTGAGCTCGTAGCGTGCTGATTGTAAATGAGTTTGTTTTGAGTTTGACTTCTTAATTAACGATTCTAATAAATAGATACAATCTATACTAATATTATAAAGCTGAAGAGTTTGTTTGTTTGAACGCGCTAATCTCAGGAACTACTGGTTCGATTTAAACAATTATTTCAGTGTTAGATAGTCAATTTATCGAGGAAGGCTATAGGCTATATAGCATCACGCTAAGACTAATGCAAGCGGACCACCAATAAAGAATGTTACAAAATCGGGGTTATTTTTACCTGTTGAGAGCTTCCGCTGCGTGCGCTGCAGAAACGGTTAAAGATTCGCTAAAATGTATGACAGAATTGTTCCCCTTTAAAAGATCTAAAAAAAAGTCTGCGACAGCATATGTCTATATATTAAGGTTGGCTCACTATAACGTTTTTTATGCTAACCAAATTTGTTCTAAAATAAAGCATTATTTGTGAACTATTCGACGCGGACGAAGTCGCGGGCAAAAACTAGTATAACATTATTCTAAATCAGATGACGCCTTTCGTTCGAAGTTGGCGACATATGAAACATTTTTCAATGTTTAATCAACAAGTCAGCAAGTTTTAATCAACAAGCTTTGAAGTCGTCGTGGCCTAAAGGATAAGACGTCCGGCGCATTCGTGTTGAAGCGATGCACCGGTGTTCGAATCCCGCAGGCGGGTACCAATTTTTCTAATAAAATACGTACTTAACAAATGTTCACGATTGACTTCCACGGTGAAGGAATAACATCGTGTAATAAAAATCAAACCCGCAAAATTATAATTTGCGTAATTACTGGTGGTAGGACCTCTAGTGAGTCCGCGTGGGTACCACCACCTTGCCTATTTCTGCCGTGAAGCAGTAATGCGTTTCGGTTTGAAGGGTGGGGCAGCCGTTGTAACTATACTTGAGACCTTAGAACTTATATCTCAAGGTGGGTGGCGCATTTACGTTCTAGATGTCTATGGGCTACAGTAACCACTTAACACCAGGTGGGCTGTGAGCTCGCCCACCCATCTAAAAAAAAAAACCCAAGTTTAACAACCCTTCCGACACGGTTCTCATTTCCTGAAAACGGAAACTACATACGTGGCTATACATAACTAAGTATTTAGAATTGGACGAACGTTAATTTCCCATCTGTAAATAGTATTACCGACCTCAATAAATAAATTAAGACATGTTACTTGATACAAACACTTCAATGGCGTAGGTCGCTGTCACGTCCGGTTTTGTGACGAACGCTCATTTCCTGTCTGATGCATTAGGGCTGGCACAATAATGAGAAAATAAGAAAAAGTATTGGAATAAATATTACATTAGATAGAGATATAAGCACGTCCTCGACCAGAGGGGATAGAAACCACAATGTTAGTAAATTAATTATTGAGACAATAGATCGACAATGGGGGACTATCCTACCTTTCAAACGAGAATATATTACTAGGCTGTGGTAGCAATGAGCAGGACCACGACATCAACCCTGAGGATATACACCCTTCCATGGGTGGCATTAAGAGTTTAAAGTTTTTTTATACGACCACTAATAAGAAACGTCTTTTAAAAAAAACAGAAAAATATTAATGTAAATTTTTGGGCAACCCTAACATTGAGCACGTATTTCTAACAATGCCTCGTTGATACCAACTATGGAGTTCGTTATCGCGTAGTTTTCCTAAACCTTAAAGCGACGTTTGATTAAAACCAGAAATCACTTGATGGATTACGAATGGTGGACAAAACAAAAGCCCTTCCCAAGATTCCCTGTCTACCGCTGCGTGATAAAAGCTAGGTACTCACTGAACTAAAACCTTTTAAGGGATGTTACAGTTGAAAGAACTCTAAGAGATAGAGAACTCATGATAAGAGAGTGGAGAAGAGATTCAATGTGCACCGCAGATTGGATCAGGAAGTGTTCATAAGAATCTACTTGGGCTTCCTATAAAAACACTAGCGTTTTGGTTATTACAGTATTGTGTAGGTTCGGAAGCAGGTTTGTGTTTCGCCTACTGATTGGTGGGCGCCTACCGAAGTGTAAACAGTGACAACCGAAGTTAATGACAACGTCCAATAAAATTCATCATTATAA